GGGGGAGGGTGCTGATGGAGTAAAATGTACCACGCCTGCCAATAATGTTACTGCTCCCGCTGCACTGTGGGGATTTTAGGCTACGTGTGGGATTTTTTTTTGTATTTACGGAATTGGTCAGTCGGATATCTGAAGCAAGCCTAATGAATCCCTGTAGAGCATTTCGGATCTTTACAGTGTGACCAAGGCTAAGGAATGGTTTCGGTGGAATCGTGCGTGTTTATTTAACCAAACACTAAAGGCTGAATTCTTAAAATATTTCTCTTTATAGACGAAATGAATTACATTCTGATTCCAAAATAATGATTGCATCACCTTCAAAACTTACGAGCAAACGTAGCTCATTAGAACTTCACGTATGCATTTTCAGAGCGGAAACAAATTCATCAGATTCAGTACTATTTAACATTAACTACCTTCTACAAAGGTTATTGAAGGCATAATTAGTTCCTGCTTCCGCGCATGTCAACTTCTGGGGTCATTAGCCTCAGTAGGTGAAAGTGTTCTCCGCTCTTAAACCGTGCGATCAGCTGCCCACTTCCTAGAGTTTATACATCAGGAGGTATCTCCACCATGGGGAGATAACTGTTAGCCATGACATGCTGAAAGCTTTCGTCTGGCCTCCTGAAATGAGTGGTAGTTTAGTCCATGTAAGTATAAGTGTTTGGGTAAGGAGAGAGGATAGGACGAGGAAGACGAAGGAAAGATCGCGCGTGGTCCGTAGTGCGCTTGATAAGATACTGCTCCGGTATGTAAAACTACCGATCAATGCAGCCGGCCTCGAGAAATCGTAGTGGTTCATGTAATACTGTGTGAGCCTATCGTATATGGAAATTACGTTGTCTACATGTAGAACTAAAAATATGAAATTTAAAGAACGGAAAATTAAATGTGATGTTTTCCTGAGTATAGATACATTTATCTCGCGCATGTGACACAAAACCAAAGAGAGATCAGTTAAGCAGCAAAGAATATTATCCATGACGATCAGAGAGATTTGTGAGATGCATTTTGCGCGTTTCTTTTTTTGTCTTCGTAGCCTTGTTTATTCTCGCGTTCGACCCGTGATGCCATTTTGAGGGGTGGAAGGTAGGGGGGGGGCGTCCGCAAGTTCATTGGAATTCATATCGTGCGGCCGGGAGATGAAATCGCCTACTCCCGGAATCGTGTTCACCTCGCTTAAACACGCGTTCGCCGCTGGGGGGCACGGACGATACGAAGCAACATTCACTTTTACACGGGCTTCGCCAGCGGAGCTCGGGCGGCACTAGTTCGGCCGCAGGCGAACCTTCGTAATATTCGCGTAAGCAGATTGGATGGCGAAAGGTAGGTAGGAGAACAATCATGTAAGGATTTGCATGCGAATCATGAGGATAGCTTGAGAATCTTCATATTCCCGCGGTACAAGATAATTCTTTTAAAGTATTTATTTCTGCCTAGTTCTGATTGTCTTCATTACGAACTAATTATACGGTTAGATTCAAGAAGAAGAATTTAAGGGTTTTGTTTGTATTTATAATTATATCGTTATAAATCTTCTAAACGTGTATGTGAGTTTGCTCAACTACTTTAAGCATATATGTTTAAATCGACGAATAACATTGAAGAGTAATTACAATTTCTCTTAATTTACAATTAAGTAATCAATTTTCATATACTACTATTACTTTGGAATCACAACACAAAATGTACTAATTAGTAGAATTACTGTATGTATTTATAAATGAAACCATCATTATATTTAATAAAAATACATTTTAAAGAGGAAACAAGCTTTTTTAAACAATACTTTTTTTTATCATATATCGTTTAATTAAAGGCGCCATCCAATTAATATGCTATGCATTTTTGAGTTCTTTTAAAGGTTTGCCAGCCTACAATCTAGTAGCTTTGTCGGGTAAAATGGCTTTGTTGGCGATCGCGATAGAGAGTTGTGAATTTTTTAATGCACCACTTCCATAAATTATACACGTGCCATTTAGCAGCACTTCCCTACGGATATCGTGAACCACGGAGTTTTTTCCCATTTAATTATTTATAATTATTATAATTCAGCCATTGAGTCTTTGTCAGGAATGATCAATTGATGAATGCATCATTATGGCGATGATACAACGGTAAAATGAAAGGCACAGAAAAAGAAACGTGTGGACCTCCATCACCACTGACGCACTCGCAATTTGTTCGCTCACAACTCATCGAGATGTGAATCCCGGTCCTCGAAGATGAAAACGAGTGTGTTGGCTGCTACGATATGACTGTCATTGACAATGTATTGCACAATGTTCAATGGCTGCGAGCTTTTATTCTGTCATTTTGCCATTCAACAGGAGAGTGGGACATACAACGTTGTCCTTGTTTCATCGTCTGAAAAAAGGACACGGAAAGCGTCAATGCATAATTGAATAAGAATTATGCAAAACCCTGATTGAGTGTATCATAAACAAACCGTCACGTACGACTCAGGTGAATTAAATGTGTTAAGATTTCTAGCTAACAGTAGGTGAATTGTTACATGATTCGATTACCATGCGTAGAGTTATCATCAATACATTATAACCAGCTGTGAATTTTTGAACACGAAATTCCGAAAGAAACTAATTACGAAATATTTAATTCGTAAACAAACTATTTACAAGGCAGAAGATGTTTTCACCTCGACGCGTGCCCTTCACGTTGGAAAATATCGGTATGAACATTAGGTTCTTTACCAGGAAGTCGTTGTTCCTTAGAGGAATGTAGTAACATTTCCTTTGAAACACAAAACTTATCCACTCGGTAGGGGCAAACAGACGCCACCCGCAAGTCAAGAAACTCGGCGCCCTCCAACGAGCTCTCTTCCTTGTCACAGTCGCTTCCTCTCTCTGACGCGATCACCAGTCAGACATCTAAAGATAGCAGGGTCCAAAACCCGATTTTAACCAAACTATATCCAAACTTTTAGGCCAATTTCAGGATAATTAAATGCTTTATTCGCGATGTTTAGGCTTTTTTGAATTTCCCCAAATCGTGGGCGCTGCTAGCTTCAGATGGCTCCATCAGTCGGCAGGGACCTCGAAAGCCCGGCCGCCCGGCCGCCTTCATCGCCGTCATCACTCTCCACTATCCCGCGATCACTGCCCGGGGCTCATTTATAACGAGCGACATGGCGCGGAGGGGCGGCGTCTCCTTGCCCCCCCCCTCCACCCACAACGCTGCGTCCGCTCCCGTCGATTCCCTCCCTCCCCGTCCCTGCACCGGCTCAGATGGAGCGCGGACAACGTCACTGTGGCCTGCAGACTCTGACTGGGAGGTACTAGTGTTCGAGTTGCCGCGGAGGTGGAGGATTGTCGACACTGGCTAAGTAGCTAGGTCAGGCTCAACCTGTCTGGAGGGCTGGCTGCTCTGATCGGGTGTTTCGCGTGGTTTCTCCGACCGGTATCATGCGAATTCAGGAACAACAATAAAACAATCTTTGGGATTATGGGGACAATAGAAACTGAAGAGCCAGGAAAGATCAATCAATAAACAGCATCTCCGCCCTCTCGATTCCCGTCCCCTCAATATCTCTGTCAGTGACCCCCATCTCGATCAGGCTTTTTGGTTTGCTTCTGCACATAAATGAAGCTTCCCTATGCGCATGTTTTGTTGAGCTCTCCTTTTGCAAGTTGTGGTTGAGTAGGGCCGGGGGATGTGGATTATTTTGTAAGCAATTCAATCAACGAAAATCTGTGGTTTGTTAATCGATCCAAATAAGTATTAGTCGAAAATTGCTAGTTATATAGTGAGTGGATTGCCATTTTTAGCAATTCAATAAACGAGCATATGTAGTTCGTTTATCGATGCAAAGATGTATTAGTAGCGCACTTCTAAGAATCGAAAATGTCTGGTTTCTAATGTTTTAACCATTCTTTGTTGGTATTTTCATTCGTCATTGGACATATGTACAAGACAATGGTAGGATACAGTTTTGGAATCATAAGAAACGTTCGCACGAATGCATTTTTACTGTTGTTTTATCGCCGAAATACTTGTATATCAATTCAAATAAATCAAATCTCTGCCACGCGATGCACGTCAACAGTATCTCTCTCTTTGGATTTTCACATCCTTGATTTTCGTCCCGCTTGTGCTTGAGTTATACTCGTAGATATTTCCGCCCATCAAAACCAATTATCTCTGCTCTCTTCCATCGGTACCCTATCTTTCAGCATCAGCTCTCCAGTCCTCGAACCTCTAGGTTGCCGTCAGGTGAGGCACTGAGAGCGTAGACTTCCGCGGTCGGAGCGAGGAGCTACTTGGCTGTCCGACAGCCGCCTCGTCCTAGTCACAGCTGCCAACATTACGGTCGCAATCCTGTGACCTGCACTTCGCCCTTAGGAAAGTCCTGCGACCTGCACTTCGCCCCGAGGACTCGGCGTCTCTCGAACAGCCAAGAAGCTTTACTGCGATTTCTGCAATTTTGCCCCAGCTGTCGGTGATTTCATCCAATCGGGTGCTTAAATGTCACCAGTGTGACGGCATTATGGTGACGTTCAAGCTCCCGATTGGATGAAATCGTTAACATCTAATACCTGCCAGATGCAAAATTGCGATAACCGCAGTGTAAGGTGAAGCACTGTTCGCCACTCAGTCTTCCCGTTTGGCCGGTGGTTTTTCGGGAAACGCGTATCGTCCTCCTAACTTCCGTGACAGTCTCGTGTTGTCTGTACCTGTTTTGCTCGCTTCATGCCTCCGCATGCAGTCTCCTTTCCTTTGAAAGTGTTCCGTGAACTCTGAATCCGGTGCGGTACGAACCCATGTCGATTAGACTCAAGTTACCATCTTCCAATGGGGAAATATGTGGTTGATACAGTATGCTACAATTTTTTTACAGTATTTTCAATGTCCCAATACGTCATTCTACTCCTTGCTCCTCGTAAATTTCCAACTTCTCTTTAATTTATCTCGTTCATCACTCTACATTAGACTAGCATAGTGGATTCAACGAGTCCCCGAGGACACTCCATTGGCTGCATTCTTGTGCTTTACTATGAAGTAGTGAGTACAAATTCAATTTTGATTCAGACTTCAATGTTTGCACAGTTTCTTCTGTCACTTGTCGTGTAGATACCTACAATATTTCCAATTGTTTTTTTTTCTAAAACTAACATTTTCACTTATATCTTGAACAATTTTTTGTGTTTAAATTCATATTTTTCTTGTAGTTGCCTGCTAATGTTTCTTTTCCATCATTTTCTTTAATAAGAACAGTTATTTTTAAGTTAACATTTCTCAAGATGATCTATTTGTGTCCTTCTAAATATTATTCTCAATTTCGTATATTCAATGTAATTATTATTCTCTGTAATTATATTCAACGTGATTTTTATGCAGAACTGAAATAATTTTGTTTTTCACTCTGTGTACCAATTTGTAAAATTCACTGAAATTCTTTCTCTACCATAGTTCCTTACATTTTTTCATTCTGCATGCACGTTTTCATATTACATCTATTCGTAAATTTGATTCCACATGAAATGCAACCAAACCAATTTTTTTTTCTCCCTACTTCAAACTTCTTTTTGTACTCTTTGCTCTTCCACCCCTGTTTTCAAACCTTTCAACAATAATAAAGAACGTCTTCTGATTCTAATTCCCTCCACCGTTGCATCACGTTCCTCTTCACATTTCTTCGTCTCTGCTCTGCTTCGTCCGTCGGATGCTTCCACTTGGCGCTCGCCGCCTGCGCGCACGGCGCGCGACCCTGAGACCGAGGCGCAGGGATCGATTCCTCGATAGTCCTCCGCCGCCGGTCTCGTTCTTCCTTCGCTCCGTGCCGCTGTCCCCCCCCCCCCCGCGCACGATCGGCGGAGGCACACAGTGGTCCAAACCGAGGGAAAATACGCCAAAATCCTGCAAACGAAGTGAAAGCTGAAACAAAGCTGAAAGCACTGAAAAACAGGCTAAGAATTTCCTCTTGTACGTCCGATTCCACACTTCCACACTTTATTACCAAATGAAGGGTGACTTTTTAATATAATCAGAGGGTGAAATTATGTAAAATAGAGCTTCATAATTTCAATATGATAATTATCAAGCTATTAATAACCATGAATATATTATATTAACAGTATGTAAAATACGCAATGATGGCATTTTCATCTTAACGTGAAGTAAACCCTAGCAAAATCACAAATTAATTCCGAACACAATGATAATGCTTACCGACATAATTACATTGGGCTGCCGCTTTTGATGAAAATGTGTAATTATGAATCCGTTTTTCATCATGATTATATTAAATTATATATATATATATATATATATATATATATATATATATATATATATATATATATATATATACAATTTTACTTTTTCTATCACGTACAGAGTATATTCAAAATTTTCGGTTTTTCGTATTTGAAATTGGCACGAGCTATGACATCCGCAAACGCAGGGCTGCGACAATTCGCTGCTTTTGATTAAAATCAGGATAACAATGAGTGGGTGTTGCAATATGATTATGGGGATTCGGTTTCTTCACAGTTTTTAAGAAATTTACAATTCATTAAATTTCGAATGAACGTTGCCAATATATTACAATAACTTAGGTCAACCGTGAGACCAGTATCACATGGTCCTGCCATTTCTACGTGAAACCGAACACTTCACCTACCATCTACATCATCTTCAGATTACTCACATAGCTGTGATACTAACGTTACTTTTTCCCGAAGAAGAGAGAAGACCCCAGTTTATGAATAACTCAATTATTTGGTGCGAGATTGGTATTTCAAAGGAATCGGCGCAGGTTAAATAATTATTTATTAATGACTGTATATATAGATTGACATGAAACTTGTATAAACATTTTTTAAAAAATGAGTTAGTGTGTAGTATCGTTTCAATGATTCGGCTCAATAGTTAAGAGTTGAAGAAAAAATTATTAGAAATCTTTATTTCCGCGTCATTTCACCTTGTTGACAATAAATTGCACAGGCGTTTCGCTCAAGGCGATCGTCTGTGACATAAAGTAGAGTAAAATCTAAAAGTCAATGAAGGTGTTACTAGTTTTGGGGCATTTGGTCGTCATTTCACGCACTGTGAGACTCTGCCGTCTATGACATGAAGCCTAAGATATGATAAAGCGATAACCACTCATCTATATATAATTGTAAAGACATGTCACGACGTTATAAAACAAATGAAGGCATTACTAAAGTTGGTGCATTTTGTCGTTTTACGCGATGTGAGACTGGCGTCTAGTGAATGAAGTAGCGTAACTTATGAAAATGCGATATCAACTCATCTAAGTGTTCGGAATTTTTTTGGTTTCTACAATTTCAGTTATCTTCGATTTTTTTAAATGGAACTATATACGGGAGTCCCACCAACCATGGACCTCCTCCATAACCGCCAAACGATTCACGATATCGGAGTGCAGTTTTCGCTCAACAAAATCACATTCAGAAAAGTCTAATTTCATACTCAAAATACTATCAAGACATTAACATTATGTTACATCATTGCATTTCCTCCTTTTATGATCTATCTCTTGCTATTGATAAAAATAACCTTTTCCATATAAAAAATTAAATAAAAATTAAATTGCTCGAAAATTAAAAATAATTCAAACAATATATCTGTACTAAATTACATGCCCCTTAATTCCGCATTGTTGAACTAAAACTGCATTTCGATATCATGAATCGTTTGGAAGTTACGGGGGTGGCGTATACTTGATGGGAGACTTGCAAATTATAATAATAATATGTCATGAAATGATAAAACAAATGAAGCCTGTTTTAAAGTTGGCGTATTTCGCGCACTGTGAGTTTTACTGTCTATAACATGGAGTGCAACTTTTAATAATTCTATATTAACTCATCTAATATGCAGGATGAGTCTCGTAACTTTAGCACCTCCTGTAATTATTGAACGGTTGAAGTAATTGAAATGAATTTTCACGGAAGTTCATGATGGAATAGTTGTAATTGATGTATGTATTCATTTCCATTTTCTCACATGTGGTGTACGAGATATTGAGGTAATTTTTTAATGTAACTATAATTTTTAGTGAATTGGGATGAGCGTAATAAGACGATTCCAATAATACATTTATTGTTATATGTTGGATAAATATTTTTTTGTGTAATTTTGATTTTTTTTGCGAGTCATATTTAACGGATAGTTTGAATGTAACAGTCGCCCCCCAAGGGGACGGAGCGCACTTGTTGCTAACGCGCGCTCGTGGCGTTGCAACGTCCTTTAAAAATGAGTAGGAAAAATCAAAACTACTCAAAAAATGCTTATTCAACTTATGACAATACATCATGTCATTTAATTCGTCTTATTACGCTCTTCATGATAGTCTAAAAAAATATGTTTCAAAAAAGCAAAGTTATGTCAACACCACGTGAAACACAAGTGATAAAATGGAAATGAATATACGTATAATCTAGCCCCATTCACTCATGCACGTTTGTGATAACTATATTGAAATAACTTCAACCGTTCAAAAATTCCAGGAGGAGCTGAAGTTACGTGACTCATCCTGTATATAGAAGTAATCGCATGTCATGATTATCAGGTTTTGATGACCTAAAACATTGCTAAAAATGATCAATAAAATGCTTTAAATTGCCATAAAAACAAAGAAAAACGACGTAAAAAGTTTATTAAAACAACTTCAGTTGAACAACTCAAGGTGTTGGATATGTTACTGATGTAATCGAGTCTTCTTCCTTTTATTCAAGCGAATTAAGCCTGCAAAGGTTTGGTTTGGACTGTTCTTTCTGCCTTTACTTATCGCGAAATCGGTCGAACTGGCAATGGCGCCGATAGCGTCACAGGAACCTTAGATTACATGGAACTCATAACGGCTGACATTACAAAATATGAGCGAAGAAATCGAATAATTTACTAGGAAAGAAAAAAATTGTAGAAATTGACGAAAAAAGCAAATAAATGACATATAAAAATGTGTCATTCGTTTTGTCATAACGTAAAATAAAATTCTACACTAAACGGCCTTACTCTAAAGTGACAAAAAAAAATAATTTCATTAAAATCCACCCCCTAGTCATGACATTCCAAAATAAAACGAAGGTATGACGAACGGTGGCGCATCTTGCGGCGGTTTCGCGCACTGTGCGGCGGCTGCGGCGACGGCCCGTCTGCGGCGAAGGCGGCAATCTGCTCTGCGCGGGGCGCCGTCGCGTCGCCCGCGGAGCCCTGTGTCGGCGCGCGGAACGCTGCTTCCGATTGGATCGCGGCCCGCGGCAAGCGCCCATGATGCGCTCCGCGGAGCCCGCTTCAATTCGGCCCCGCGCCGCAGCCGCCACCTCCGCGAGGGCCGACAGGAAACAGCGGAGCGGAGCTTTTATCGCGTCTGCGGCGGCGGTGGCGAGGGCGAGGCGGCCGCGGGGGCGAGGCGAGGGCGAGGGCGAGGGTGGGTGGTGCGGCGGGGGCGCGGGCGGGGGGGCGCGGGCGGGGTGGCGCGGGTGGGGACGCGCAGACGGGGGCGCGGGCGGCGGGCGGGGGCGAGGCGAGGGTGGGGCGGCGGGCGGGGCCGCGGCCTGGCGCGGGTAGGCGGGGGCGGGCGCGGGCGCCTGGGGGTTTCCTCTGCCTCCGCTCGCATCGCCTTTACCTTCATCGAAAATCAGCGTGCGATATCGGGGAAATAACCGTTCTGGTATCGCCTGCAAGGAGAACATCTGAATAAATGCATTTTCTTTTGTTTGGAGCGCGGGATTTCGGATGTTTGTAACTGGGTTTCAGGTTCAGTGCACTGTGCTGATACTGTACTACAAAATCCACAGCAAGCCCATTGAAATTAAAAAAAAAATCACGTCAATATTGTCGAAGTCGTTTCCGGCAGATTACTTTAATTACTAATTACAAATGGATGGAAGTTATTAAGAGTATAAAAAATCTGCCTGTTCTATAAGCATATTTTATTGCTTCTTTAATCTTTGTAAACGGCCTTTACTTCATGAAACAAGATATTAAATATCATATCTAAGGCAAATCTTTGTTTTCCGATGTTATACGACTGCGCAATATTTTTATTAATCTTTAGATCAGAGTATTAGGATGAAGACGCTGAAGAGCTTCTGGGCCGAGGGCATGAGGAAGTTCATACTCAGTAGTAACCTGTTAAATTTTAGAAAAATAATAATTTGAAATTTTTCACCGAGGAGACTTGAATTGTATTCAAAAGTTTGAGATGATTTAAATAAATACATTACACTTCCAGGTTTTTAGAAAATTTTGAAAATTGATGGAAATAAATAATTTAGTTTTTCTAATGAATTTGTCTTCCCTTTTTGTATAAAAAAGATACTCAATCGTATTAAGGAACTGAAGAAAATTATTTGATATAAGATGTAAGAAATAATACAGAATTTAACGTACTGTTCATATTTCACATAACGAACATATTCCTTATCCATTCGTTCGGTCTTTTTTGTTTCATTCATTCATCAAAAGGTATACAAATTCCTAGGAGGGAGTGTATTTTGAGAGTACCTAACTCTACTAGTCGCTGGATTCCGACCTTCCACTTTGTCGCCGCTTTTGTGATAGAAGCCTTGCATGCAGTCCCGCATTGCACCGTGTGCTTTATTGGCGCGTACTCCACCCACAAAAACAAGCAACGCACCAATGAAAAACTGCTATCCGTTCGTTAGCAATCGTTCCAGCATAAAGCATACTTCTTCTTTTGTTCGGATGGGGAGCGTGGGCGGGCGCGGCGGTTCATAAAACAAAAGAAGCTGGAGCCGCTAGCCGAAGGC